AACCCTGCTATCACCACCCAGCAATGCGTGCAGGTCCTTCAGGATGCTTTTGGCCAACCCACAGGGAGTGTGGGGGGGGGCATACTACGAATTGCTGGGAACTTTCCAGCGCAAGGGCAAGACTCTTTCAGCATATGTCCTTTGCTTAGAGCCCATGCTACAATGCCTAGTGACCCAAGGAGCACTTAGCGTCACTGATGCTGATCAGATACGGCTCTGGCAAATTCGTATTGGGGCACGGTATAGCTCAGACTTACTCCAGAACCTCAACTTAGCGGGGAGCAGGAGCAGCCCACCTGACTTCAGTCACCTCCTCCAAGAGATTCGTGAAGAGGAAGAGATATCCAGACTCTGAAAGACTATGTAGGTCCCAGAGGATGTTTCGCCCCGGAGAGGACCCATGATTCGGGTGCTAACGGTGGCTCCCCATGAGGACATCTTGTTGGGGGTGGAGGAGGAGCCTGTGGCTCCAGCACTAGCAGCTGCTGTGTCCAGAACCACCCCCAGGGGGTAAGCCCTTGCCCCGTCCTCGTGCCTCGGGAGGACCTCGGCCCCATATCCGCTCTAGGACCCCGGGGTTCTGCTATAGATGTGGGGAGCCAGGGCACATGGCTGGGGAGTGCACCCAGCCTGAGAACCCTGAATTGGTATTTGAAAGGTTAAAAGGGCGCTGGGCAGTGGGAAATGGGGAAGGAGCAGAGCAATGGAGTTGGCTCTGCTCCGAACCCAGACAGACTCCCGCACATTAGCCTTAGTAAATTCACTGCCAAAGGGGCTAGTGGGACCCCGTGCAGAGGTCCCCGTGATGGTGAATGGTCACCCATGCCGGGGCATTCTAGACAGCGGGTCCCAGATTACCATCCTATTTGAATCCTTCTATGAGGAACATCTGAGACACCTGCCTTTGTTTCCTTTTATGGGGTTGGGACTTTGTGGCTTACGCCAGGAACAGTATCCTTACAGGGGTTATGTGAACGTGAGGCTAAAATTCCTGACTGAAATAGCTGGGGTGGAGGAAGAAGTGTCAACCATTGCTCTAGTGTGCCCTGATCCGGGGTGGATGAAAGGGGCCACTCTCATTGTAGGGACCAACTCAAGCCTTTTCCAGGTTCTTGCTCGCTACTGTAAACAACAGGCTGTTCCAGATTACCAACAACGGTTAACGATGCATGTCTTGTGCTCAGAGGTGTATGACCGATGGGAGCACAGAGAGATGTGAGGTCACCCTGAGGTTGTGGGGACCATGCACTTCTCTGGAGCAAAGCCCCAGCGAGTTCCTGCACAGGGCCAATGGGCTTTGCCTACTGTATGCAATTGGATTGAGAGGGATGAAAAGAATAAGCTGCTGGTGGTGGAGACCGCCACCGGGAGAGAGAGACCCAGTGTGCTTAGGGTCCCTGATGGTGTGATTGAGACAAAAGGGCTCAACCAAGACCTGGTAACCATGATAGTGGTTAACCCAACCTTGAAAGATATTGTGGTCTACCCGGGACAGAAGGTGGCCTTGGTAAAGGAAGCTGAAGTGGTGAACCCTGAGCAGGAGGGAACCCCCCCCAATTGACCCTTTGAGGTACTTTTTCAGGAACTCTCCAGTGCCTGAAGCCTGTAAAGCTCAGCTCAGGGACAAACTCAGGGCTTGAGCCCGTGTTTTCTCCCTGCATGACTGGGATGTGGGGGAGGCTAAGGGGGTGGAGCATCACATTTGTCTGAGTAACCCACGACCCTTTCATGAAAGGTCTCAGTGCATTCTCCTCACTGAGATGGGGGAAGTAAGACGTCAACTGCAGGAGCTCATGGACCACTGCATCATCACAGAATCTAAGAGCCCTTATGCCTCTCCCATTGTGATTGTGCGGAAGAAGAACAGCCAACTCCGTATGTGTATTGATTACCGGACTTTGAATGCCCGGACCATCACTGATCAATACACTGTGCCACGGGTGGAGGAGGCTTTGGACTGCTTAGTAGGGAGCAAATAGTTTTCAGTACTAGACCTCCACAGTGGCTATTACCAGATACCTCTGCGGGAAGAGGACAAAGAGAAGACTGCTTTTATTTACCCCTTGGGATTCTATCAGTTTGAACGAATGCCCCAAGGGCTGTCCAGGGCTCCTGCCACCTTCCAGCAACTAATGGAGAAGGTGGTTGGGGATATGCATATGACCCAAGTACTGGTTTATTTAGAGGATATTATTGTTTTTGGAAAGACCCTGGAGGAACATGAAGAACAGCTACTCCTGGTACTTGATTGGCTGGAAGCCGCTGGACTTAAATTGGCCATTGATAAATGTAAGTTCTGCCAGGCCTCTGTGAAGTGCATAGGACATATTTTATCACAGGAAAGGGTCAGCACTGATCCGGAGAAAGTAAGTGCTGTGACCACCTGGCCTCGACCCAAGAACTTTAAGGAATTGAAAAGGTTCCTGGAATTTGCTGGTTTCTATCGGCGATTCATTAAAGACTATGCTACAATAACCGGACCTTTAAATGCCCTAACTCACGGACCCCAGGTGGGAAGGTCACCCCGCAAGAAGGAGCAAAACAATGGCTTAAATGGGCTTCCTGTGACACGAAGCCCCACAGAGCATTTTGGCCCCCAGTGGGACTCACGGTGTGAAGATGCCTTTCAGAAGGTGATCCGGTGGTTGACTCAGGCACCTGTGCTGGCATATGCTGATCCCAACCGCCCTTTTATTTTGCACACAGGTGCTACCCTGTCAGGACTGGGGGCTGTACTGTACCAGGAACGTGAGGGACACCGGTGACCAGTGGCTTTTGCCTGCAGGGGATTGTCACCCAGAGAGATGCACTACCCGGTACATAAGCTTGAATTCCTGGCCCTCAAGTGGGCTGTCACTGAGAAATTCTGGGACTATCTGTATGGGACTACCTTCCAGGTGTGGAAAGACAATAATCCCCTTACCTATGTGCTCACTAGCGCTAAGTTGGATGCGATCGGCCAATGCTGGATCGCGGCACTAGCCAACTTCACCTTCAGCCTGCACTATCGAGCAGTATTAAAGAACGTGGATGCTGATGCCCTGTCTCAACAACTCCCCAGCAACCCCAGGAGTGTTTGGAGCCCCGAGACAGTGAAGACCATTTGCGACCTGAAGATACAAGACCCTGTGGGGACGAGAGAAAGTACTGTTTGTATGGCTGAGGTGTTGGGGTTGCCCCCTGAGGGGATCCCACAGGCCTGGGTTCAGTACACCACGCTGACTCCCTCTTCATGGCCCCAGGTCACGGCCCCAGAATGGTGGACGGCGCAAGAACAGGACCGAGATGTGCGAGAGGTGCTGTGTGCCCGGAGATCAGGGAATACCCACCCCCTGACCCTTAATAATGCTAGCCCAGCAGCCCACCTCCTGTTGAGGGAGTGGGAAAGGCTTCGCTTGTTTGATGGAGTGCTACATTGGGAGATGCAGGACCCGGAAGGATGGAAATATTGGCAGATGGTCCTCCCTCAGAAGTATAAAGCCCTTGCGCTACGGGCCTTGCATGATGACTTTGGGCACATGGGGGGGAGCGCACCCTGGCACTAGCCCGTGAGCGGTTCTTTTGGCCCAAAATGGCTGAAGACGTAAGGACTAAATGCTCAAACTGTGATCGGTGTGTACGGAGGAAGACCCTGCCC